CCCTAAACCCCAAAAATAAACCTTTATCCCCCTAAACCCTAAACCCTAAACCATTAAAGTATAAGTGATGTTGTGACTCATCAAAATATTTTTCTTTTTGGTGGTCATTTTAAATTTGTATGACTCAAACTGCATTTTTTAAAGCTTAAGGGGGAAGAAAATATCTCAATGACTTCATAGGAGTTGACGTTGCATTTTTTGGATTTATTTTAAATTTATTATGAATATTTCGAATTAAATAGAATAAAATATTATTACAAAAACCCACAAACTACGTCGGTGTTAAGAAAGTAAAGACGTTGTAAATCGTAATAAACGACTTACTTTAAAAAAAGACGTCGTTTAAAGGCAAAACCATGACCATTTTTACACAGAAAACGCGTACAAACAATATTCCACGACTTAAACTCTTAACTTATCGCCGTCTAATTTCAATTAAACGACGTCGTCTTATAGAACCAAGAGCGTCGTTTGAACAACCTTTTACGTCTCTTTTTAAAAAACTATGACGTTGTTATTTGTGTACAACGTCATTTTAAAGAAACGACGGTTTAGAAAGTGCCCTAGGGTTTTTCACAACATGAAAATCTCAACAAATTTGGTTCAGCATGATCTTGGGTTTTTCACAACATGAAAACCTCAACCTCAACAAATTTGGTTTAGCATGAACTTGGGTTTTTCACAACATGAAAACCTCGACAAATTTATAAATAGAATAAAATATTATTACAAAAACCCACAAACTACGTCGGTGTTAAGAAAGTAAAGACGTTGTAAATCGTAATAAACGACTTACTTGTAAAACAGACGTCATTTAAAGACAAAACCATGGCCATTTTTACACAGAAAACGACATACAAACAATATTCCACGACTTAAACTTTTAACTTCTTGCCGTCTAATTTCAATTAACCGACGTCGTCTATAGAACCAAGAGCGTCGTTTGAATAACCTTTTACGTCTCTTTTTAAAAAACTATGACGTCGTTATTTGTGTACAACGTCATTTTAAAGAAAACGACGGTTTAGAAAGTGCCCTTGGGTTTTTCACAACATGAAAACCTCAACCTCAACAAATTTGGTTTAGCATGAACTTGGGTTTTTCACAACATGAAAACCCCGACAAATTTACAACGGTGCATTTTTTGGATTTATTTTAAATTTATTATGAATATTTTGAATTAAATAGATATAAAGACAAACAAACCACATCAGCGCTAAGAAAAGAACGACGTTGTAAACTTATAAACGACTTACTTGTAAAAACAACCATCGTGTAATGGCTATCGGGGACGTACATACTATATATCACGACGCAAACAATTAATTTAGCGTTGTCTAAATTCCTTTTACGTCGGTTGTAAATGTACAGTCGTGTTTTTTTTATTCCTTTATTTTATTTATTAATCACGTTTGTACTCCATAAGATGACGGTGTTTGATATAATTATGTCGTTGGAAGGTTTATTACACGTCGGTCATGCAATTTCTTTTTTTTTAAATAATGAAAACCAATTTTAAATTCATAGGGAAAAAAAGAATGTACATTATACATAAAATTTGTACAAAAACTTGTCTAATTCTAACAAAATTTGTACATTTTAT